AAACACTAGATGAGGTCATAACAGTTCGCATTTTTTCCCATCGTCAGATACGTCCCCATCTATGTTACAGGTTTCTTTCAATTAATCATATTTTTCATCCAGAAAATTAATTATTTCGGGCAAAACTGAAAAGTGTCATGATCTTTCCGATTTTTTTTAAGTTCATCCAATCTCACTTCTGTTAATATCCATTGTGATGCGGCACGTCCATCTTCACAGTAAACACCCGAAGTATAAATAATTAGGCTTACGACTGTTGGTGTAATATAATCTTGCATACGTTCGCGTTAATAAATAAATTAACCAATTTAACTCTTAAGTTTAATGATGGGCAGATACTCATGTCACAGCCAGTGAAACTTCATGGCGCCTGGAACCGCCTACTGAGAGCACGTGAACAACTGAAGATCATCGATGGTTATAGCGCATGCGTCAGCGATCAGATTACTCGCACAATGTGTGACGCATTTAGAAACCCATAACACCACTCTCTCGCCCTTAAACCTCCTCGAATTAAATCAGAAAAAAACAACATTTCCAGTTTCTCACTGCCACTTGGAAAATCGAAGTTTACGATTTTACGTTTATTCGAAATATTAAACACCAGTCTTACAGCTTATAAAGTTGATATTTATTTGTAAAATTGCATTAAGCCACAAACTACCAAACTTGTTCGTAAATTCTCCATACCGGTGAGGTCAATTGTCTTGTATCAAATTATTTAAAATAACTAATTTTATACATTAAATAAACAGTGGACTCTAAAAAGAGGAATTAATTGAATTATTGGTGGTATATATATATATATATATATGCGTTACTAGGCGCCTATAACAACAACATAAAAGTGTTTAAAAAGCCGATGGGATCCAAATCCACCCAGTAATTCCAAGGTTAAACAGAAACACCCTTACTTACCTCTGAACAACAGAAAAACTTGTTCTATTGAAATACGTTTAGAGTTGCAAACAATGTTTAATTGTCAGCTTTAAATCGGTTAAGGAATTTTTATAATGACCTTCGCAACAACCTTAGCAACGAGTTACACTTAACACTGGTTTATTTATACTCACATAGTCGGCCGAAGCTACAGCTAAAGCGTTTCTTTAGCCTCTGGATACGCGAAATCGTCGTTTTACTCTCTTTCATGTTAACATCTGTAAAAAAAAAAAGAATAAAATTATACATCATCTTGAGTTAGACATCAAACATTTTAAAGTTGTACAAAACCTTGAAATCTTTATTCTTCTAGAATAATCCACCAAAGAAACAATCAATAGAAGTTTTTCACTTTCAAATATTTCTCGCAAAATTACGCAAGGGATAATTATGTGCTGCTGTTCCTACTTTTTGAACTTAAACACTAGAGCAACGGTCCCAAATCACTTCAACTTAGATAACACTCATACAACCAAGGACGGGGTCTCATTCCCCAAGTACAGTTTTACTTAATTTGGCAATATCATATCATAGTGGGGGCCGCGAATCAGGTTTTCGAGGGCCTGATGTGGCCAGCAGCCATCTTTTTGGGAGCACTAGAATAGTGGGAAAACAGCTAGTCAACAGTACCACTTATGACCTAATTTGTTTGATTGAATACTAGAATTTGGCCGTCACTCTTACACCGTACCCATGGCCCCAAAATGAGGAAAGCGCTTGTATTTTTTATTATTTATTTTTTTGCAGCAACGTTGCTAACCGTGAATCATCTCATTCACATACGAGTACGCTAACCACCGACCCAATCAACGCAAGACAATCCATCACTGAGAAAGAAGTATAAGACAATAATGTTACGTATGTAAATAGCAAAGCGATCAATTTGTATGTAGTCCCCCAGTAGGTCAGCGATAAGCTTAGAACGCTAAAATCCGGAGTTCGATTTCCCGCGGTGGACACAGCAGATAGTCCAACTTTATACAAAGAATATGAACTCCATCTGATAAACCAATAATAAAGGCAAGAAACAAAACTGTAACCAATAGCACGAGCTCGGACCTCTCTATCCCGGAGACTGACCAGCTGCAATAAACTTTGGGCGATTACACTGATAATCAAACTAAAAATATACTTTTGAATTATGAACAAACGTCAACATATACAAGTCAACCATTTGTTCCTGGCCCGGTAAAGCTACCCATGAAAAGGTAAAAATATAAACGTTACTTTTATTTCTCAAGAAATAATCGATTCTCCTTTTAACCTCTTGTAAAATGCCATCTTCTACTGCTGATGAGCAATTAATTCCACAAGATAATCCTTGCGGGTAACCTTGCAAACGTCAATGAGATCACCTCTTACCCTCTCTTTGCTCAAAGTAAAATATGTTGAGAGACCTTACCCCTGTAAGATAACCCTTCTGTCCATGGAACCATCCTAGTAGCCCTCTTCTGGACCCTTTCCAACAAGCCAATATCATTTCTCAGTTATAGAGCCTTCTCTTGTCTTATAATCAGTACGTGTCTATAAATACACTTAAAATTCTATTAGCTTTACTACTAGCCTTGATGGCTTCAGTGACATATATCACTATGACAAGATCCTTTCCTCCAGTCACGCTTTTGAGAAGGTTCCCCATCTGCAAAAACAATGTAAAAGCCTAATTTCTGATCCCCGAGGCACTCAAGGAGTAACAAATGTCCAGTTTGACTTCGTTAATAACAACTTTTTCCTTTTGTCTCACCTAACAACCCTAGAATCCAATCAACTAGTCTTTCCAGAACAAAGGTAATCTTCTGTGTGGCATCTTATGAAGAGGTTTTAAAAATATAAGTACATCAAATCCACACCCTTTCCACTATTCATTCAGTTAACAAGTAACATCCTCGAAGAAAGTTAAAAAAATAACAACAGTAAGTCTAGCTTTGTTAATTTAGTGATACAGCTTCTTCTAATCAGACTAGCTAGATCAACTTCCCTTATACTTGCAACACGTAGCTTTGTACGAAACCCTAATAATCCCTCTGGTGTTTTGCAGAGTTTAAACAAGTCCTAACACAATGTTCATCCCTAGCTACATGGGATCGTATTTGTCAAATATATCGTTATACAGAACCTTACTTGTCCTTCTGACATTTTTCAGAATTTGAACAAGTCCTAACATATCATTAATCCCTAGCTACGTGTGATCAAATTTGTCAAAGATATCTTTGTACGGAACCCTACTAACACTTCAGGCGTTTCGCTGTCACGATTGGTATTATCAATCTTTTACATTAAGTTACAAGTTTTTTTGTTTTTTTTTCATCCTCGGTTATCTATAGGTGAGGGAGGTATCCACACACCCACAGTGTAATATTTCATGTAATCATGACACGAGTGAATTTTTTTTTAAATCATTCAAAAAATTAATAAAAATAAAATTAAAGTGAAAATTGTTTAGAGTACAGTTTAGAGAAACCTACACTTTAGCATCAAACCTTTCAAATAAAAAATATTCAGATGTTTGGGTTTGTCTTAAGTCTTGTAGTATCAATAACTGGTTACATTTGCAACACTTAGTGCACCTAGTTGCTTTTAGTTTTCTGTGAAAGTCCAAAAAAAAGGGCCATATTTTAGAAGTTTAATGCCCCCCCCCCCTATCCCCAGGAAACACGGGTACATCATACGTTATTTTAAATGAAAAATTCTGTAGTTTAACAATACGCCTCTTGTAGTGGTAAATTGTGGTAGCACGTTTGTGCTATATAGAGTGAAAGACACCAACCTTTGATATTTGCATAATTTTCATTCGAGTGAAAAACTGCATTACGCTTAGTAAATTATTTCAAAATGACGGACATACATACCAGACAAAAGATTACTTTTCTTGTTTGTTCCTGTAAAAGTTGTGAGTTTTTCTTCATTCTACCAAAATATGCATACAATTTAAGTCGTGTGAAAGTTAATAATAAATGTGGCTATTTCTTATGATAAAATAATAAAATAGTGTCTGAAAATCTACAGACCCAGAAACAGATAGTTCAGGTTTTGTACAGATACATATAGTTATGGTACTTCGTCATTTTTTAAAATCAAATAAATTTCAAAGATGGTTGAAATTTTTGATACAACACGAAATTCTGCTCAAAATCTCACTAGTTTATTAATTACAGTGAACTTGATAAAGGGGGATATTTCACTAGTTTATTAATTACAGTGAACTTGATAAAGGGGGATATTTCACTAGTTTATTAATTACAGTGAACTTGATAAGGGGGATATTTCACTAGTTTATAAATACAGTGAACTTGATATGTATATAAGGGGATATTTCACTAGTTTATTAATTACAGTGAACTTGATAAGGGGGGATATTTCACTAGTTTATTGATTACAGTGAACTTGATAAGGGGGGATATTTCACTAGTTTATTAATTACAGTGAACTTGATAAGGGGGGATATTTCACTAGTTTATTAATTACAGTGAACTTGATATGTATATAAGGGGATAATTCACTAGTTTATAAATACAGTGAACTTGATATGTATATAAGGGGATATTTCACTAGTTTATTAATTACAGTGAACTTGATAAGGGGGATATTTCACTAGTTTATTAATTACAGTGAACTTGATAAGGGGGGATATTTTAACGTAACTCATCGTAGGACAAAGAAGCAACTTGACTGAATTAAGAACTTTTATATGTTATTTTGAGTGACTTACGTTTATTGATTTGAAAGAATGACATATTGGCTACGTTTCTTCAGGCTTGAGCAAGAATAAGTTACCATGCATGCAGTAGAATAGTTGTGGGAAGAAAACAATCGTGGCTGGACTCAGTCCATTAAAGCTGTTTCCTTCAAAATTGGCCAGAACTTCAGTTGGTTATAGAAAATGAATAATTTATCACAAATTAAAGAAAGAAAAACAGAGTTGTGCTAAAAATTCAGGAAAAAAAAAGACATTAAACGAAGCAGCAGCAAAAAAAAAAACTAATGTTGTTCCAGATAGTCTAAAGACGCTTTTGATAAAAGTTGTGATCGAATCTCCTACCACAGAAATTGTCAAGCAACTTACACAGATAAACAGGACCTTGAACATGCAAAGACTGGGAAAAAAACACCTCACTTGAAGCTATAATTACATCAAATATAAATACTGGGGTTACAAGAGCTACAATTCCTTGCTTTGAAAAGACCACATGTATGTATGAAAAAGCCAAAACATTGTTTAAGGTTGAAAGTAAAGATCGTGAAGACAATTTGTACCATGCAGCAAAACTTCGTGGAGATGATGCTACTTAACCTTGGTGCAGAGGAGGGCCCAGTCCTGGTTACAAGTGTGGCCCTTTATCACATGGAATACGTGGCTTCTTACTTGAGCAAGAGGAATATATCTAAAGAGAAATCCAATGAAGACTAGTTGGAAAATTAGGAATACAACAATGACACTACCAATAGTATATCCACATACATAAATGAGAGACTGGAAAAGGGGACTAAGAAAGCACTATGGAGATAAAGTTGCCATAAAGAAGGAAAGCAGACAAGGTTAATCAGATCTGATTTATGGCAGCAAAGTAAAATTTGGAGATGTGATAAACACTGCATCAGACCTAAAACAAAAGCTGAAGCTAGTAGAATACGATGCAGACATAGAATTGGATGATGTGGGACAAAGAATTAACCCTTGTGAAACTCTTCACCAAGCTGTTTGGAGCCTTCGACAAGCAATTAAATATATTAAGTGAACAAACTCCAAGTGAAGTTAGCCTGCAAGCTTCAGAGGAATTTATTCTCAAGCCTCTTGCTGTGGCAATGAAATGGCTGATTGACAAGAGAGAATTTGACTCGGGTGATCCTGACTACGAAACAACAGAAGAAATCAAACGAATGTATTTATCTTTAGGTGAATCTGTAAATATTCAACAACAACAAAGTCACTTTACCTCTACATTTGGGTCGTGCTATACAGCTTTACCATGACCGATGACCATCACTGATTAAAACAGTGCTCACGGCTGACCAATAGAAAAGAACCATCAACCATTAAAAAATGCTCACGGCTGACAAATGGAAAAGAACCATCACTTATTAAAATAATGCTCACGGCTGACCAATGGAAAAGAACCATCACTTATTAAAATAATGCTCACGGCT